TTTATTTCTTTAAAAATATTACTAACACTGCCCTGTCTGTATATATTAGAAGTGGCGATGTTTGTGAAGCAAAACGAAAAATTCTTCGTGCGATCGAGTAATGTAACTGAAAGAAGTTTGAGAAACCCGAACAAAGTAGTACATACATCGATACCCAAAACAAAAAAATTGAAAAAAAATAGTCTCTTTATGTGTACAGCTGTCTTTAATAAAATACCCAATGATATAAAAGATTTGCCGGCTAATCGTTTTAAAATATTATTGCGTAGATGGCTGATTGAAAAAGCTTTTTACTCGATTGGTGAATTCCTTAATGAAGGATAGTTTATCAGTAATTAATTTGTAAGCATGATAGTCGATACAAAGTTTTATAAATAATTTTACATAATTGCATCTGACATACTTATGTTTACTAAACTAAATTCCTTGACATGTTCAATAAGTTTAATATTTCCATTTGACATCTTATACATTTTTTAATTTTTTTTTGTACAATTTGATAAAATTGACATGATTAATAACGTTTTGACACAATTGTAATATTTTGATTAAATACCATTATTGTTAAATTTGACACAATTTTATGTAATTATGAAATATTTTAAGTTTCATCAATTTTATTATTATTATTAGGTATTATTATTATTATTTTTTGCATACTGTTCAAGATGGCTAAATAGGTCAAAGCTCTTAAACTGAAATATCACAACTGTATATATAACCCTATTTATTGCAAATAAAGATATTATTATTATTATTATTATAATGATTCTTGCTGTGATAACCTGGCTAATATTAGAAGAGATTTGCTCAGTTCGTCATCACTTAGTGTACCCTTTATTTTGTTACCGCGATTACGTAAATTGTATATAAAACGTAGTACAAAAGCAAATGCCCGCTGCATGCGGTTGAACTGTGAAAATCTTGAAAATGAGAATATATGCGTAATTTTATCTTCTTGTATATTGAAATTGTGTGTGACGTCCAAATTAGTTTCTGGTAAATCTACAATTGGCAACTCCGTATTAAAAGATGAATGATGAAAATCAATATTTAGAAGGAATTCAGGCCCTCCCCACCATAATGAAGAGCTACTAGGACTCTCCAGGTGAGAACCTCGAGAAACTAAATCGGCTGGATTATCTTTTCCGTTTACATGACGCCACTCGTGTTTCTTTGTTATTTCTAATATTTCCGAAACACGATTTTGGACAAAAGTTTTAAGTTTAGCAGGTAACATGTGTATCCACCCTAACACTATAGTTGAATCCGTCCAGAAAATAACAGAACGAAATTGAGTACGTAAACTGTTAATAATCTGTAAATACAATCGAGCACCTAGCAACGCGCCGCATAATTCAAGCCTCGGGATCGTCATAGTAGGTTTGATGGATGCTACCCTACCTTTTGCACACAGTCCCGATTTGTTCGTCATTACATAATGCGGTACACGAATATATTTTAACGAATTCTAATTAGTCACAAATTTATTCCATATTTTTGAAATTTCGACTGGCACAGGTTCGTCCCAATTCAATTGTAATAACCAGCATTTTTGTAGCAATAGTTTACCGATAGTAATAACAGGGCTAAGTAATCCTAGTGGGTCATAAATTTGCGATGCATTTGATAATATCAACCGCCTCGAAACATTATTTGCGTTTTGTTCTAATTTTGTATGAAAACACAGTTCATCTTCGCGCGGATACCAACCCAGACCCAAAGTTTTATTTTGATAATTTTCACCTATCGGTAAATCAGTGATAGTTTGCGAATTATTGTGAAAGTCGTTTTCAAAATTATAAACCCATTTCCTTAAAGGAAAACTAGCTGAACTTAATATTCTCAATGTATTCTCACAAATTTCTAACAACTTATCCTTAGTAGGCGCAGAACATGTCATGTCATCGACATAAAAATTATATAATATTGTATATTTCACATCTGGGTCAGGAGACTCTTGCGCTAGTTGCTTAAGGCACCGACAGCTAAGAAAAGGCGCGGATGCTGTACCATAGGTGACAGTATTGAGTCTGTAAACACTTATTGGCTCTAAGGGATTATCGCGCCACAATATTAATTGTAAATCACGCTGCGATTCGTCAATCAACACTTGTTTATAAAACTTTTCAATATCCGCGCAAGTAACGTACTCGTATTCTCGGAAACGCAATAAGATTGCAATTAAATCACCTTGCATTGGTGGTCCGACCATTTGTAAGAAAGTCCAGTAGTAGTTGCGGCGCTGGCATCGAACACCACTCGCAATTTGGTTGTTGTAGCATTTTCGCGAAATACCCCGTGGTGAGGCATAAAATAGTGAATATCACTATATGACTCAATGCGATTCATGTGGCCTAAAGCTACGTACTCGTGTAATATCCTTCATTTTGTTCGCGATATTGTTTATGGAACCAGAAACTATCCAGCCTAACAGAGTATTTTTAAGAAAGGGACCCGCCGGTAACGTATTTTGCCCTCGGTCAACAAATCCCAAAACAAGTCTGCCCCAATTAGTAAGTCTATAGGTTGACTTTCGAAAAAATTAGGATCATCTAACATAATTTTATCGGGAATACTGAATAGTTTACTGGATACCGTGAAACAAGGTAATGTCGATGTTATTTTTGGCAATACCAAACAATTAATGCGTGAACTAAAGGTGCCGTCAATCGATTTAATTTCAAGATCACAAGCATGCGTACATTGTGTAACTACACTACTAACACCTCTTATTTGTTGTGTGGACTGTATTAATTGCGCGTTTAGTTTTTCACATAGCGACTTAGTCACAAAAGATCGTTCACTACCACTGTCCAAAAGTGCGCGTGCTTTATGTAATATTCCTGTATTATCAGGTATTAAGACTAAAGCAGTAGAGAAAAGAATCGAATGTGACGGAGTTATTTGCGAATTATCGATGATCCCGCGCGCGTTGTTTACTTGTATAGAGTAGTTTTGTGTTAGACGACTAGTAGACGCGTCATCGTTCCCTGTACAATGCTCTTTATTAGTAGAGAGGACGGCGACCGCCCGCGTGTGCATCGGAGTATCTACATTGCAAATCAATGAATTATGTTTTTTCTCACACTTTCTGCATGAACCATACCTACATTCGACTGCCAAATGACCAGATCGGAAGCAGTTCTCACACACTTTCTTAGATTTTATGAATTTAACCCTTTCTTCTAAATTATAATCAAGAAATTTTTGACATGAATATGAAGGATGTGGAGAGTTGCATAAAATACACAAACATTTGCGCATTAGATGCGTTTGGTATTTATTTTTTGTGTGAGTGCTGCCCTCGGTCTGCTCTGTTGTAATGTTACAATGAACGCGTTGTGGATACGGTTGTCTTTTATCCTGTCTATTATTAGACTTATGAGATACAAATAGCGTTTCTAACATATCTGCCTTATCACGGAGAAACTCTGAGGAGGCATCTTCATTCTTAAAAGAAACGTTTTTATACTGTTCCCACTCGCATTCAGTGGCTTGATCTAACTTGGACACAATCATAAAAATTATTATTGTGTCCCAGTATTCTGTAGGTTCACCGAGTTGTTTAAGTGCGCGTAAATTCTTTAAAGTAACATCTATAACCTTTCCTATTAGAGTTGACGACTCCTTTGAAACAGTTGGCATCGAAAATAAAGATTTTATGTGATTATGGATTAGTAATTTACTATTATTATAACGATTCAACAATAAATCCCATGCAACTGTGTAATTATCGGCTGAAAATTCTAAAGATTCAATGACTGAGCATCTCTTTTTAATGATGATTTTAAATAGTGAAATTTTTGTATGTGAGAAATCGATTTGGAAGAGTGCACCAAGGATATGAACGTATCACGAAATTCTAGCCAATGATCATATGAACCGTCGAATTCGGGTAATGCAATCGTTGGTGATTTTATTGATTGTGACGAACTTTCAGCACAGGGTACAATCAACTCATCGTTCATCATACACTGAGCCTTAGCTAAAATTCCATAATATTCTACTTCAAAACATTCGCGTGCTTCTATTTGTTCCTGCAACTTGATATCAGAAACCAACTCATCAATGTCATTTTGAATATTATGGAACTCTGTGAATAGCGTGTTCACACCCTGAATATGCAACTTCAGTTCAGACCGTTGTTCGGCACTTAGTACCTACGGTTCCTTCCAACGATAAAACATATTTTTTAAAACAAGTAAGCCTTCCTTTGACTACCCCACGCTTTCTATTGAGATCTTTTATCACCAAAGTATTTTTTGCATCACTAGTACTCCCTCTCGGTAGTCATTTTGAAGATATGTAGAAGGAGGTACTCACGATTTTACTGCAACTCAACTCTGTGCGATACGTGAAGTGGACAGGCACACCACTCACAAAGAAGTCCAACACTGAAATTAAAATGCGAAGTTACAATGTATTCGATATTTTGTTGCTGGCTCGTCTCACCATTGGCTATGCGGCTGCGATGCTGCTGGTGCTGTTGATGAGAATATCCGGCTTCGTTGGGATCAAATTATAAATAAAAATAACAATAATGACATAATTGAATTAAAAGAAATGCGATATTTTCTTCATGCGTATGTAATTCTCCATTTTCATAACATTTTATAACATATGTCTAAAAAGAGAGTATATATACAATGACTGCAATGACTTTACTGGCCGCAACATAATTTTATAATGGCCGAGACCCAATCATATGTAAAAATTTCAACTATAATGGCTCATCAAGTAGACAGACAGACGAATGTCCATCGGATCTAAGTAACACAGTCCCATTTTCATCGTTTGGGTAAGAAAACTATTACCGACAGTTTATAATTATACAGATTATACTTAGACAGATTATATTTATAATGAAAAGGTTAAGATTCTATTTAAGGTGCAACGTCATGGAGCTCTTTCTAGTTTTGTACGCAGTAATTCCATATTCCTTAAACATCAAAACAACATATTCACTTATTGCCTAAAAAATCAGACAATATTGATTCTCATTCTTCTTTCTTCTCTGTACTCAGCGAAGTTGCTGGAACCGCAGCATTTGATATTAATGTTTGTACACTCGTCATAGAAATGTTTGTAGAGCGTGCCTGCGATGATAACGACGTACCATTACATGTTTCGTTTGATATTTTTAGCCCTGCAACATTGGTTCACGTTAAATTAAAGCATTTAGTGTGAAATAAATAACCATCTTTTATATTTCAGATTTGTAAAGACAATTAGAAGACAAAATCAAGAGGCTAGTCAATCAGACAAATAAAAACACAAGATGATGAGTTCAAAGGCTATATGTAATAAATAACTCATTAAACCTTTTTATTATTTATTGATATAATAAGTTTAAAATAAAAAATCGACAAGTGGTGTCTATGATTTTTCCTATGTGATTGGAAGCACGTTTCTATTGTCCAATAGATAGATTAACGATCTGTTTGGGATTACTACATTTAAATCAGGTAATTCAAAAAATGAGTCCGTACCAAGTTTTCGTCTGATGTAATTGTAGATCCTTTTTGGTTTAAAAACCAAAATGATGAAAATCCACAATCCCTGGAGGTAGTTCAATATGTCCATTATTGTCATTATAAACGGTGTACTGCCATCGGGTTGCGTCACAAAAACGGAAATGAACTCGATGAACCAGCCACCACCCATTACAACCCACAGCTTTCCAGTCAACAGCAAACTGTAATCAGAAATAAAAACTTAGGTCTAACGATACAATAACTTCATTTATTTCAAATTACAAAAGTTTAACCAAAAATTTAGTTACAAGTCTAAATATGAGTGTAATATGACCACTATTAAATTACTTGGTCTGGCCATAAATACTGTTAGAATTAAAAATAAACAAAATGAAACTTTTGAATTTCGAATATGTTTTTGTTATATTGTTCTTTTTCTTTTATTTTCTTATTTTCACGCCAATATATATAAAAGCGAAAGATTACTCACTCATCACGAAATCTTAAAAACTACAAGTGCCAGGAGTTTCAAATTTTGCATGCGGTTTCTTTTTAGGACGTAGGTGCTTGCTGAGACGGGATTTTATGTAATTCAATCCCTATGGGGGTAAATTAGAGGATGAAAGTTTGCTTGAAATTTCGTTACTACAAGTGCCAGGAGTTTCAAATTTTGCATGTGGGTTCTTTCTACGACGTAGGTACTAACTAAAACGGAATTTTACGAAATTCGACTTCTAAATGGGTAAATTAGGGGCTGAATTTTTTTAAGGAATTTTCTAATTTCTGGATTAGTACATAATGAAGTATTTTGTAATATTAAAATGAAGAGCGGTGAAAAACAGAACCGCATTAAGTAGGTATGGGGCCAAACACAAACAGGTATGGATTTAAATCAAATGTTTATGTACCGGGCTTCTGATAGGCACAATGTAACCTCCGCTGTTTATGACAGAAAAAGATTAGCCGCCCACATAGTGTTCGCACGAAAAATGTGATCAAAGCAGTAAGGGAAAGAATTCGAAGAAACCCTTTACGAAAGCAAAAGATTTTTGCTTTCAGTTTTCTCGGGAGAAGAAGATTGCACCTACAACAATGACACGTATTTTAAAAGATGACTTAGGACTTGCAGCCTGTAAGAGAGGCACTTGTCACTTAAGAGATAACGTAAAAAAGAATAGGTAAAATCAAAACAACTACTTAAGCGGTACGCAAAAAAAGACACAGAAAAATTTCGTTTACAGATGAATAGAAACCAAAGCGTGGTGGTATCCCAAATTCGATGAGGTCATAACATATTGTTTATTAAATTTACATGGTAAGAAATAATTGAATAGGAAAGCTCATAACACCTACAAAACTTAATGCCATGGCGGAAAAGTAAAAAAGGTAAATTATGTAAGTTTCTTTATTATAGTTACAGATAGTATTTTAAATTGAAATTTGAAAAAGGTGTGTATCTTCTTACTTTTCCTTGTAGTTCTCATAACGACGTACGATGCTATCTTTTTCTAAACCAGCATGCAGCCGCTGTGCTACTGATTTGACTCGCACACAGTGCACTGCTGTCAACAACCACAGCACCAAGTTTACAACAGTTATCAAACCCATGGGAATAACGAATAAAACGTAATGGGGCCAATCAGCCTCGCTGTTTATTCCTAAAAACAATATTTGCAATTAATTTTCAATATTCTTAATGAAAAATACTTAAGAAATCCACTTTATCCCTGGTACTATGAGATGGGATTCGAACCCACGACCTTTCGCAAACCTTTTTTAAGCATTTTTCATTAAGAATATTTTTCAGTATAGCATTGTGATTGCAATATTGATCAAATATCACAATCTTCAAGTAAAAATGTAAGCCAGAAATATTTTAATTGTTTCTCAAGGCAAAATTTTTCGCCAATTAGTGGCTGAGCTATCAACTTATTGCCCGGCCATAGTACAAATGTTTTTTTGGCGGTCCGGTAACTTTTTTAATTCATTAATTCAGTCTAGGCTGTTACAAGCACTTGTGAAAGGTGAAACTCTACGCTCTCGGTTCGTAAATCTACGGCAGGAGATATTGTACCTAGAAGAACCAGCAAGAAGAAAGGCTGCTTGTTTCTCCCTGTTTTCAAAACAATATCGGCCATACCATAAACGTTTGGCTTTATGGCCGGGATATAACTGTACCATTGCACACTGCACAGCCTTGCTGGCCACTGTGAGGCAGCAACTAATTGGCCAAAAGTATTGGCCGCTTATAAACTCCTTTACGGAAGATAACACCGCAGGGTATTATTATAATAGGTCGCTAAGAAAAATATGCGTTGAAAATTTCTTCCTTAAATACCGAACTGAGAAATGTTTTGGAACTTACAAGATGTAGAAGTAAAATCATTTTTCTGTAAATCGTCTGCCGTTTGTAGTGCCAGAAATTAATGTGAAATTTTTTCAATCATTTATTGTAATGTTTGTAGCGGCCTTGCTCAACAATAACCACAATACAATAAGAAATGCTCATTTAATTAAATACAAATAATAAATCTTATATTAGTTTATTACTTGCACCAAACCAGCAGCGTCCTTTGCCCATTTCGGCATCGAGAATTGGCGATAATGGATAAATATCCAGTAGAAATGTGGTCAACGTGAGACCGACAGAGATACCCCACGCATACAAAGAGTACTTAATAAACTTAATCCATGAGCTTCTGTTCATACTGCGCTGTACTGACTGAATATGACTGCAATTACAATTATGAAATTATTGACAATTACAGGTACATAAACAAAATTAAACAAAGAACTTTATTCAATATTTTTCTTATTAACGTAAATCATCTATTAACATCTGAGATAAAGAGGATCAAACATCGCCACTGATAATACTATATGCGAAGGTTAATGATCGATATACCTACAATTTCTTTACTAAATATTAATTTACAAATATAAAATTTTAATAGCATTATTTTTTTTTATAAATTTGTTCTATTAAATATACTATTAATCTTATAAATTCCGTATCATCAAGGCATTTTGAAACGGTAACTGATATCTGACATTATACCCACATATTTGCTGCTGCTTGCCTACCAAAGCTCTGTCAGTTGTCGTTTATAGCTCAAAATATACTTCAAAATTCCTAGAAATTGGTATTGTTTGAAAACGCCTTAGTCTCTCCTATTTGTATCTACTTATGTCATGACAAGTTTTGTTTTTGTTATTCAAAGTACATCAGTAATATTTCACAATTAACAAAATACATTACAAACAACTGAAATTTAATATACGTGCGAAAGTTCGCTATTGAAGCTGTGTTTTTATTCGCACATATCGCACACCTAGATCTAAACTGAGACAACTCAAAAATTTGAGTGAGTTTTGACTTAGTACAATATTCAAATACTCGGTGATCATACGCATCTATCTAACATAACAGATTCAATAAAGGTTCGGGAATGAGCCGCTAGATGACTTTAGCTTTCTTTTGTTGAATCAACAGTGGTCGCGCTCCTGCCACGTTAACAAATGTATTGTCAGATCTCCAGTTTTTTGAGTTGTCTTAGTTTAGATCTAGGTGTGCGATATATATCTACTACGACTGATTTGAATAGCTTAGTGAAAAACAGGCAAACTCACCTCATCTTCCACCATATGTCGAAGCACAAAACATTGACCCACATGAAGGCTGACATGAACCCAAAATAAATGCCATATCCTGTAAAAAACACAAAAAAGACTCGTATAAAAATTTAAATTAGTTTTAAAATTGCTAATGCTCCTGGCCGTTATTTTAATTCAGTCTCAGACAATTGTCAAAAATTTGTTCTAATTTTATAAATACAATAAATTGAAAACAAAATTTTTGTATTCAAGTAACTAAAGTATACTTCTATAATTGATTATAGAGAGACGTTAAGTCCATACTTCCTCATAATAGATATCAAAAGTTATTTCTTACCCATCGCCGTGCAAACATTGGGTTCTGGTATGAATCCGTAATGCCCACAAGCAAGACACAAATAACCCAGCACCAAAGAGCTAATATAGCTGATCAAATTGAAGCCATGCAGGTTCCGAAACTCTGATATAGAGCAGTGCACCACTAATGTCATTATTAAAAACATCACTGATATTGACAACAGCTGAAAGACAAAGTTAAATCATAATAACTATTCGAATATACATTAAAGACCTGTTAGTCGTATACTGCTCTCGCGAGCTTAAACCGCAGCAACAGCAAAATTTACGTTTTTGAGTTTTTCATATCGTCTGAAAACCGTAACACCTAATTTATTATTATTTTTCTACGACTAGAAACATTACGATTTTCATTTCTTTTAAAATCAAGCCGCCAAATTTTGTAAGCTTATCTGAAAATATATCTGAAGATTACCACCTAATATGCAGTAACATTTTTGACCTACTTAATGCATTTTAGTTAATTAATATACCTAATACCAAAACTGTGGAATATGCAGTAACAGTTCACTTAACTGCAATTTTAAATAGATTAAAAAACGATTTAGCAAAAAAAAACCTTGATGCAGTAAGAGGGCTTAAAAAATTATAATGGCTATAATTTATTTATTTATCATGTTTCTAACCTGAAATTTGAGAATTATTTTAGTATTCTAACTATTTTACACTTTACAATAATTTTAAATAGTGATTTGTTAATAAACGTAACATTTAAACGTCACGCTCGTTTTTCTCAGTTTCTTGTTTTTGCTATTACTGAAGTTTGGGCTCCGGACGGCAGTATAAGTAGAAGCTCGGTGTCACAGTGGATAAGCGCCGCGGACTGCGATCGTTATTATTAAGCAGCTTTTGTAAGTGTCGGTTACGGGATAGCTGACCAAAAAAATATTATCTCGAACCACTCCTTGCTTCGGAAGTCACGTTAAGCCGTTGATCCCGGCTCCATTTGCAGTCGTTAATACCCTCCAATCCGCATGCCAGCCCATCCTCCTCCTTAATCATCCAAGAGGGAGGCTTGAGCCCCTGCAGGGGGACGTAAAAGGGCTGATAATGAGTCGTTTAAGTCGCATTTACTTTTTTTGTAATAGCCTTCATTAAAATTAGTAGCTCGATAGAAAAGAGGTTAACGCGATTGGTCTACAATACGGTTGTTAAGCAACTTTCGCTAGCGCTATTCAAAAGATGGATGACTAGAAAATCATCTCCTCTATGCTCTGAAAAGCACGTTAATTTGTTGGTGCCAATTATACCTGCAGTCGTTAATATGCACCGATTCGTACTGGTATAGTCTCCGTATTCGATTCGATTCGTGTGAAGAGTGTGAACGTTGACTGGAATATATGTCTTAGAGATAGGATTATATGTCAGACGGCAACCTCAATACTGAACGTCAGACGGCACTCGTGGGTACAACATCTATTAGCCTAAACCCTATGTCTTCCGTTCTGGAATCCATCCATGACGAAAGGAACCGTGATTAGGTGAAGAGGACTGCAAAGGATTCTAGAACGCCCTTCAGCTTATCCCCTACAACGCAGGTGGAAGTCGTAATCGAAGGAGGCAACTCTGGATCGCCCGATGCTCCATCCAAAGTAGAGGATACGAGCCAAGGCAGTCAGCGCAAGCGACTGTCTGGAGCAGCACGGAAGCGTCTCCGGTAGCTAGTGACAGAAGCAGGGGTAGCTACAGAGCAAGCCCTTGTGTTATGCCGCAAGCCATGGAAAGACATTCCAATACCGAAGCCGACCTCTGTGAAGACCCTCAAGAGGGAAAGATCAGAGGATAACTCCCCTAAGGCGCACATCAGCAAAGTCGCCAAGTTAAGCCCTACAGCTGTAGGCGGCCCAAAGCCCCTTAGCTACAGGGAGATGGCGGAGACCTCCAGAGTGGGGATCCGGAATTCGGAACCCATGACGGAGGCCTAGATGACGCTAGTACATCGTCACCTCATCGTGGCCCTAACAAAAATGGACACGGAGGGCGATGGACCTGAATTTGTCGGTTTCAGCCACAGGACGGGATGGATACTGGTAACCTGCGCGAAACAGCATAGCCATGACAGGCTTGTGGCTGTAACACCAAAAATGAAGCCATGGTCTGAGGCTCAGCTGACCACGATGTCGGAAAGCGAGCTTCCAAGGCCGTCCATGGCAACGACTTTTGTACCCAAGACGGAGGCTGCCTCAGATACTGAGGCATTAGCCCTGTTGAGGGTACAAAATAAAGGCATAAATCCTGGTCTCTGGAGGGTCCTAAACGAGAAGGAGGAAGAAGGAGGATGGCTTGTCACCTTCTCCATCGACGAACCTTCCGTTGAAGCCCTCAAAGAGAAGGATTACTGGGTGACTCTCGGATTTAAGAGGGTCTACTTCAAGATCAAAGGCGACTATCAGGCCCCTCAGCATCTACAGTCTTCCTCCGAACCACCTCCTGCCACCGAACCGACGCCGTCGACCAGTGGCACACAGAAACCCCAGGGCTCACAACCTCGCGGTGGAAGAGCGCCAGTGGTTGTGGGCGGGGGCCGGCGAAGGAAGGATAAGCATGCAGCTGGAGTAGCAAAACCCCAAAAGCCGAACGCCTCTAGCGGGAAGATCACGGGGTGCCGCGAAAGCTGCCAAACGAGGGAAATAAAA